ATTGATACAAGCTTCTGAAAAATGCCTTATGAAAGCAAGTGATCATCGAATTAAATGTGTGTCATTTATGAAGAAAAAATGTACTAATTCAGGTCTGGAGAGATGGCTTAGTGCTGAGGACCCAGGTTCAGGTCCCAGTTCCTACATGGCAGCTCACAATCTTCTATAACTCCAGTTCCAGGGAATCTAACACCTTCTGTCTCCATGGGTATCAGGCATGCATGTGGTACACAAACATGCAGGCAAAATGCTCAAACATACAAAATTAAAATGAATAAATATTCTTTCAGAATGTACTAATTCAGTCTTATCAGTGAGCATAATTGATTCACATTAATATTTGCTAACTCTACATATTACTGTTAGAATAATGTTACTTACTAAAATAGAATTTTTCCTACTTACCTAGTCCTATGTCCATAATAGATAATACATATTAATATAACAATGTATACTTTAAAGTCAATCAGCCTTAACACATTTGAAGTTATTTGTGAAGTAAATCAACACACATACACACCTCTTGCTTCATGTATTCATTTTGAAACTATGTACATTAAAAATCTAATGCAGCTTAAATTTGTTTAACTACTCACTAAAAATAATTGAAATATCATGCTTTGATCTGTGGCTCAGAAACTCATTATTTTACACCTAGGATAAAAGAAGTCATACATCACTCTGATCTCCTTTTTGATATTTCAGCATATATTTTCAACTTTCTCATTTAATACCAACTTGTTTTTCAGTAATGAACACATTAATTTCACTTTAGAAAGCAGTTGCTTATAGGAGACTGTCAAATATTTTAGTGTTATGCCTTAAATCATCACTGAAAGATTTATTTTAGTAGAAGGTAGCTGTGCATATTAATTAGATTGCCAGACACCTGTTTGCTAAGGTTCAGCATTTAGCAATAAACACAGTGGCAGTGATAGATCTGCTACACCTTGACACAGACATATCTAATATACTCTATTGAGTTATGAAGGAAATAATCATTTTACTAAATTGAAGTTAAACACCTGATAGAATACTTGGTGTTTAATTACAAGTGATGTGACAGGGACTGGAGCGATGTCTCGGTGGTTAAGAACACTGACTGCTCTTGCAGAGGACCTTGGTTTGTTTGCGGTACCACATGGCAGCTAACTGTCTATACGTCCAGTACCAGGACCTCCGACATCTACTTCTGGCCTCTGTGGGCATGGCACACCTGAGGTACACTTACAGACATTCAGGCAAAACACGCATACACTTACAATAAAAATAAACAATGTTTCAAAAAGTGAAGCTATTCTTTACCTTATGGTTGATTTTTGTGCAATGGTTTAAAAGTCTATGGAAAATTCATTTAACTCAGTAAAAAGCACACACATAACTCTTTTTGAAGTTAGTGAATGAATTCAACAATTTCTACTAAGTCTTATGTAATGCAGAAACAGACTAAATACATGAGGGGAGAGCATTCTGGGTAAATCTTCTCAACTAAAAAAATCAAGAATTGATAAATATTCTGCACACTAAGACGGTTTTTGAACAGACATGCAAATCCTATTACTTCATCCTCAGTCATTCCACTTGAAGGTTCAGTAGATCATCACTGAACTGGAAGCACAAACCAATTGCCTTCCTAAGCTTTTGATGGCATCCAGTTCCATCATGTTAAATCTAGGCCATTCCTATACTTGGAGACCATGACCATCTTGAAGATTTTCTTTCCTTAAAGAGGAGTCCCACAACTGTTAATGACCATGGATGATCATGCAGTGGAAGGTGTGTACATGAGTGATCATGCAGAGGAAGGTGTGTACATGGGATGATCATGCAGAGGAAGGTGTGTGCATGGGATGATCATGCAGAGGAAGGTGTGTACATGGGATGGTCATGCAAAGGAAGGTGTGTACAAGGGATGATCAAGTCTGGGGCAGGCAACACAGTGTCAGAAGAAAAGAAAGGAGGGAGGAAGAAAACATGGGGCTAGGAATGAGCTCTAGATTGTATCATAGATCTACACTGACACACCTTACATCAGCCCCTTCACCTCTCTGTGCCTTCAGTCCTCACATGCCACCTGTGAGCACAGGACCAGAGAATGCTCCTGAAACCTGCTTAAACTAACTTGCAAGAAGGTCCTTCAGTTATGGAAGTGAGTACATTATTTTTTTATCACTTAATTGCGAATTCACTTATAGTGTTATTTGTGGAATATCTACCAAGATATGGGACGTAGATTGTCTCAAGGTTAGGAATATGAAATAAAATTCCACCTCGTGCCCTTGGAAGTTTAATAACTATGAATGAGACTAAGATGAGGACAAGAGAGTGAAACTAGATGAATCAACTTCTTGAGGGCATTTTATTTAATGCTAGATGATATGCCCTTTATCCTGAGGGCACAAGAACCGGGTAAGGAGCAGAAAATCCCATATAGGGGTAGAGATTGGAATGAAGAGAGACTGATCTTAGAGCCCTCACTTATGCAGAGCCAGCCAGGATGGAAAGAAATGGAGTTCATTCTGGAACAATTGAGGAGGTGGTGTGCTGTGTTTGAGATTCTTGGATTACAAATAGCACTGGGAGGCTGTCCCAGTTAGCTCCAGTTGTCAATATGACACACCGGAGAAGAGGGACTCTTGGCTGAGGAAATACCTCTATCAGACTGACGTATGGACAGATCTGTGGGGCATTTTCTTGATTACAAATTGATGTGAGAGGGCCCAGTTTATTCTGAGTCATGCCATCTCTGGGCAGGTGGGCCTGGGCCATAGAAAAGGCAGCTAAGCAAGCCCCGGATGGCAAGCCAGAGCAGCAGAGACCTCCATGGTCTCTCCTTCATTCCTGCCTCTGGGTTCCTGCCTTCATCCCAATCCCCTGATCTTTCTCAATGAGGGACTCTAAAGCATAAGATGAAGTCAATCCTGTCCTTCCTCAAGTTGCTTTTGGTCAGAGTTATTTATCAAAGCCACAGGACCCTAAGTAGAACAAAGGCAATGGGTAAAAAAGCCTAAAGTTGAAATAAGGGAGCTATGTGTTTGCTGTTGATAACACTGACCTTATGGGTAAAATAATTCAAATCACTCTGAACCCAACATTTTCATATCTAATGCAGACAAAGACTATCTCAGAATAGAAACTGTGAAGGATGAGGTCATGAATAAAGGGTACAAATGCTGAGAGCTTAGTTCCCATAACAAGCAAACCATAAGACTAGATTTTTCAGCCTCTATCTCAAAGTCCTTGGCTGCTACACAAAGCTATGTATCATCAGTCTGGAACTGTCTGTATACAGGGCAGTTCAAGGATAATTACAGAGAGCTAAATACTCTGGTAGCTATTTTTATTACACTATTATATATTACATTGTTAAATTAGTATTATGTCATTACAGATTCTTACAATCTCATCATATGATTTTTTTTTTTAAAAGGGGATGAATGACATGCAGGATTGGACATGGCCACTATTCATCAAAGACTTTTCTGGGACAGTCTTTAGCCAAAGTTCTACATCACCCTCACACTAGTGAGAGGTATCTAGTGTCCATGTTGGAAGCAGCTCAGAGCACTATACCCTGGAAACCTGATCGCCACATTACTATACAGAGGCACACGGTACACCTTGGTATATCTGGATATAGTGGTGGGCAGGTATTGTAGGAAAGGAGTTTTGGAGGGCTATTGCATAAGAAGTACCTGATTTTGATCTAGTAAATTCTATGGTAATTAGTTACCCAAAATATTTATGTTTAGCGAGATAGCCAGTTCTATAAGAGACTGACATACAAAATATATTTGGGGAACTTGGATTTAGGAAATGATGCCCTGAAAAGAATCCTATATATAAAAATATCACCATATATTTCTCATTAGGTCCCTGAATTCAATTTGTCACTGAGGTTTCAAAAGTATTATTTATAGCCACTCTAGAAGCAGATGACCTGGGAATGCAAGCCACTGGTGAGTGCCTTCTGTGTACTCCAGAAGTATGTGTTAGTAGAATTTTCACTTCCCAAGTGGCCCAGAGCATCTATCTCATATGCTGACCAGCAGTATCCACCAAACTGCATGGCTCTGAGGATGAAGAAAGGTGAGCACATACCCCAGGAAGATTTGTGAAAAGCAGTACGACATACAACTGCCAGTCATCACTGGCGGGTTCTCTTGGGAGAAGAGCCAGCTTCTGAGGTCATCTGCTAACAGGACTGCTTAACTAACAGCAACCAAAACTACCACTCCTATGATTTCAGTTCAGAACATATTTATTTTACTGCTAAGGTATGTTTTTATTCTGACAAAGAACATTATTTTGGTTCATAAGCTACATACATACATACCACATTTTTGATTGGTCTTCTTGAGACAAGGTCTCCCTGTAGCTCCAGCTGTCCTGGAACTCACTATGTAGACCAGGCTGGCCTTGAACTCACAGAGATCCGCCTGCCTCTGCCTCCTGAGTGCTGGGATTAAAGGTGTGCACATTTTTAAAAAATAATTTTTGAGGTTTCTAGAATTAGTAATGCTCAGAAAGAGTAAGTTTGGAATGGACTTGAATGAGTAATTTCGGAATAAAGATCATTTTCTAATAAACGAGGAACAAATGCTGAATGAACAGGTAAGCGTTGCTGAAGAGTCTCAAATGCAGAAGGCAGTGTGTCCTAGGATCAGAGACTCCATAGCCTTAAACTCTATGCTTGAAGATAGTCCCAGCAGAATGTACAATGAGTAATAAGAATTGTGGAGCTGTGAAATCCTAGGCAATGCCATGCATCCTTCTGAAAAAGCTCAATATGTATCCTGTTATAATACCTGTAAAGCCTCCTTAGAGTGCCTTTGGGGAGTCCCAGGGGACCATCTGTCACTGGGACACCCCTCTTCTCTCTTCGAGCACTTCCTTACTGATAGCTCCATACTTGGAGATCCTACTTGAAGCCTGAAGCATTACTTTCCTCCTGGATTACTTTGTGCATTCATGTCTAGAAGATGAAATGGTATTCCTACCTGTTTCACAGCTGGGTCCAGTGAAGCCTTGTGGGCATGCACACACGTCAGCGGCAATACAGGCCCCTCCATTTCTACAGCCATCTTTGCAAAATGCTACAAGAATCCAGATAGATGAATAAATCAGATTAACCAGCATCGGTGCGTGAGCATCACCATGCTCTCCATGATTCAGTAATCACCAAGCCCAGCTTTCCTTGATCCCTTGGGGATGTAGGCATCAAATGGTAAAAGGTATTATAATTTCATTCTGATACCATATTTTCTATACATGCAAGAAACCGCAATATGATTTTTGAAATGGTACTGTTTCCGGTATTAAAGAAATATTTTAACAGAAATTTGAAAAGACAGAACTTTTATGCAAATGCGAAGTACATTACAGTTCAGATCGCATTTCATTGTAACAATCTACCTTGAAGCTAAGCATAAAAATGGTAGCTAACCTAGATGAAGCAAATCATCAAGGAATGACACGAGGAAACAGAAAATAATGGAATCCCATGAGGCGCTAAAATATTAGAGAAAAGTCTCGACCTTCAAAAGTTCTAAGCAGGCCCTGGTGGCTTAGAGTCACCCAGCACTAAAAATTCTTCACTCTACAGCTCTTCATTCATCTGCTAACGACACATCAGGAGACGGGGATGAGGGGACAGACACTGTGAAATTTGATGTATTAAAGCGAGTTTGAGGGAAGCTTTTCATTAAGTAGGAAAAGTCTGAGGTAGAAACCATTGCAAAAGTGATATTTTGATTATTGGCTGCCTTCAAAGAGGCACAGGAAATAAAGACCAAGGAGAAAAACTAAAGAAGGTGAAATCAGAAACCAAGATGGGTGAGACGGAGCTGCCTCAAGTGCTTCTGTTCCACTTGAGCTTCTTCACGGGCTTATCCACTGCCCCATCTCTCTGCCTGACCGGGTCTGACATATATGAACAGCTCATTCCGGAGTCAAAGATTCCTCTAGTTTTAAGCTTACGTATCCTCCAGGTAGCTCGTTATGCCTTCATAGGAATGTAGAAATCTAAAAATCTGGTGCTGTGTCAGAAGGGCCTTACCAAAAGTCATCTGGCTCTGTTGATTCAAAAGCCATTGGCTCAGCTGATTTCAGTTTCTAAGTTTGGCTCATCCTATGCAGAGAATACCTAGGTCAGCAAAGATTTTCAAATGTATTTGGCACTTAAGCCTCATAAATAATAACAAATGCATCCGCCAGGCCATGTACATATTTTACTTGGAGAAATTTGCAAGCCCATTGATAACAGCCCAGAACGCAATTATTCAGCTCCTACAACTAAACTATTTATCTCTCCACTCTTATTCAATCCTCAATAGGAAGGTGAGACGTCTTTACTCAGGTAACCTGTAGTCCTAACTTCCAGAGGGATTTTAAAGAGTCTTAGAGACTCTTCTCTTCAAATCTAAGTTTTTCTGTTGGTAACTGCATCTGCTCCTAGTTTCCACTTATCTAAGCTACTGAAACGTAGGCTCTATACCAGGCGGAATCAGAAGCAAGCATTACAAGAGAAAGAAGCAGCGGCCCCAAGCTTCTAGAACATTCAGGCGCTTTGAAGGAAGTTCTAGGGATTTAGTTACACTTTCTTTTTTTTTTTTCAAGAAAATTCTTGTGAGATTTGGACTCCCACATCAACAGACCTTTTTTATAATGATCTACATTGAAGATTCATGGAATTTTGAATGCCAGCATAATCCTCTGGTCCTTCAGCATGTGTATAGTGTATAGCCTTAAGACCTGCTCATGACCCACCGCATTGACAACTGTTCTTTGATCTGTCCTGTCTCCCATATACACGCATCATTGTAAATCTACTCTACTGAATTCTGAGATAAAGGATACAGTATATTTTAGGGATAGGTAGATTTGAAATTTAATATGCCTAAATTAGACAAGTCATATGACAATTAAGATCATAAACTTTATCCTATGGGATTTGGCAGTTCCCAAAACAGCTCCCTACTCCCTTGTAAAGAAGTAAGCTCACCAGATGAAGAGGACAGTGGTCAAAATGTGAGGGCGTGGGTGGCAGTGGATGGCTGGAATGTCCACTGATGGAAATGAAAATCTAAGATCAATAAGAAATTTAGGGGAATTATCAATTGGCATTACAAACCAGCTAAAATGGGGACTATGCCACACGTAGACCCAGTGTGCTCAGTTAATATTCATCTTATAGTGAGAGAAGCTTATGAAAGAAAGCCCAGAAAAAGAGAGGTATTTCACAGCAGTTAACAGGCTTACAAGTGTTAATATGGTCCCCTCAGAACAATAGCTTTCATGATACATGTATGTTTGGTCTCAGAAAGAAATCTCTGAAGCTGGGGTACTGGTAAACTAAATGAAAATTTTGAGCAAATTTAAGACAAAGTTTTGAGGGAGGAGAGTTGGCAAATTGGAAGGAAAGGGAACTGGGGTGAGGCAATAAAAGGTTGAAACTTGGGATTTCAAAGATGGAGCAGTTCTTGACAAAAATGCCTAGGATGTGGCTATGAAAGTGGTTTTGTGGAGGACAGAGGTGCACACTGCTGTAGCTGAGGTGGCAGAAGATTAGGCAACAAGCTGAAAGGTTTGGTCACTTAACTGCTGACATGACCCAGGGGCATGGCAAGTGTTGAGAGGAAGGTGATGAGCCATGTGCCAACACTCAAATGAACTGCGGAGTGTGCACGGGTTACAGAAGAGTGCTGATAGGGACAGGGGAGAGGCTGCCCTGGTCACGGTGCAGAGGGGCTGGTGTGGGGGCCTCATACCTTTGCATATGGTTCCATTCCCCGTGTAGCCAGGCTTGCAGACACAGTTGTGTCCTCCGACAGTGTTGAAGCATAAAGCATTTTCATCACAGTTGTGTTGGTTTGTAATGCACTCGTCATGTTCTGAAATGAAGAATGCAATTTTGTTGCTCAAAGGTTGTTTTCAAAATACCTTACTAAATAAACGGGCATCTTCGTTATTATAAAACACCCTTTTCAACATACTGGCATCCTAATTATTACAGGGTATTTCTTTCAACCTCAGATATCAACAAATTATAAACCAAAGACAATCGGATACTGTTCAAAATCTTGAAGTATTAAACATTACCCTAGAAATGTGCACACAGTTTGTGTTTTTATAAGCAGGATGGAGTTGGAGAAGCAGGACACCATAAAGTTAATTCTCGGAAGAAGTGGATGACCGAGTTGGCATGCAGTCTCTGTGATTATCATTTGGGTAATTATTCTTGTGAAACGTCTTCTACCTACCCGTTCCCTGGAATATGTGATTGGCAATGAGGAAGGATTTGAAAATGTTCTAACATCCATGTGTTTTGGCCTACAGAGTTTATGGGGCTGAAGTACTGGGCGGTGGATGCCAGCAGTTAACACCGGCATCCGCATTCACAGTTGCAGGCATAAAGGTTCTCGTGCAAACTGTTGTGGGAAATAACTTACCTCTTCAGGGCTCTTCCTCTGCATAGGAAGTGTCAAGTGTCCGTTACATAGGACAAATTTGCTTTTATAATGTGTGCAAATGCACACATTAAAATATACAGCCAGTATATGCACCCTTTAACTGCTTATAGCTTGATACTTTCAAAGCACTGAGTCATTTGGTCCGTCCAGCAACCCTGTGAGAGAGGCAGACCATATCGCAATACTCAGGACGAGGCAGCTGTGTCTCAGAGTGCTCACATATCTTTCTCAAGTTCCAGGAATATTAAATAACCTCAGACTTCAAAAGTGCTGCTTTTGCCACACACAGTGGAGACCACACTAACATGACTTAAGACAGCTAACAAAATGTGTTTTATTTTTTAAGCTATGCATTAACATTTCTCTACAGCATCTTCTGTTTCATGACATGGCAGTACCCGAATGTGATACGTACTGCTGATTCTGACTCTGGTACTACAGTAAACTTTTTAGAATTATTCCCAGTAATCCATCAGAGGAATTTGAGACTACCAATATTAATGCTTTAGAATTACACGAATATTATTTTTAAATTCCTGACTGAATTACTCGTCTTTGTAAAGAGCTAACCCTCTTATTCTCTAATTAATCACAACATTTCACAGTTTCATAAATTACTGGTAGCTTAGGAAAGTCCCTGGGTTGCTCAGAGCTCTTACACTCAGAGCTACACTTGGACTGTGAAACTTCAGAGGGGCCAGAATGGGCAGCCCGTCTGCCTTTGAACTCTTCTAACTGAAGCGAAATAAATCTAGGCGCTAAAGTTTGTGCCTCCTGCCAATTTTTTTCCCCTGTGGAATTTGAAATGCTGCAGTTAATCTATAAATCTGTATGTGAACAGCCTTGGGCCATTTACAGACAGCTACTGATGGATTAGATGCTGTTTTCACCACTATCTGGATCATCTTCTTAATTAGACCACACTCACTGGGTAGACAAAGGGCCTAAGAAGAGTCAGCTTAGCACTTAGTATGATACTGTATGAGAAATGTTAAAAAGTTCGGTTTTATTCTTCTGTCACTTATTTATGGTTCTGGGAAGGAGTGCTGTGTCATGAGCAGTTCAAAGGCAGAAGAGAGTTTTCTGGCTTTTAAATGTACCTGTCCCTTTACACATACTGCTCTTTGTGCCCGAAATGTCCTTCTCCTCAGGTTCTCCTGGAAAACTCTAACCATCAGCAAATACACTAAAGTGAAAATACCTTGGTGCTGTGCACCAACATGGTTAGGGGCTCCCGTGCCTGCCTGAGAACTGCACGTCAGGCTTGGCTGCTCTGGCTTCATTCTTATCTCTACTGAGCTCTCTCTCCAGTCCCTTGACTATTTCTTAAACTGATTTTACTATGATGTATCTTATTTATTTTGAGTCCAATGTCAACTTCTTACCCTTCCTGTGACTCACACACTCCGGAGGACCCCAGGGCTACCCCTCCAGTTCGAATCTTCATTCCCAGTACTCCCTTAGCATGCCAGGATGTATTAGTGAATGGGTTCTAAGGTTTATTTCACATGTGTTGAAAAACAGATGTTTCAATCTGATGATCAAAGCATCTCCCCCTCACCATACACTGCCTGCCATTTTCACATCCTCACTCATTTGCTACCGTAATCCAAGTAACAGCTGAGACTACAGCCAAATGCATGTCTTTACATCCCTCCTGTATTAAAAATGTCAATCAGAACTGAATCGTTCAATCTATGGATTTGAAGCTTAGATAGAATAAGGAAAACACATAAGAATTGTTATCACCTAAGTAGAAGACATTTGGGTGTCATTCATTACAATACACATAGACTATAAAGCGTATGTATGTAATCCGTATCTTACAGAGACAGCTGGTAAAAGTGTGTTCCATGTCTTAAATTTCTTTTCTTTTTCTCTACAGACACTGTAAATTGAAGTCATACTAATGATAGAACTCAATAGTAAAATTCCTCCATAAGGGGGGATTCCTAAAACTATAGGTGTTATATCAAACAATAAGACGTTTGTTTTCATCACTGGCTAACCCCTAACCTGGGTAGGTTGATGTATCAAAAATCATTTTGTAATTCCACGCCCCCAGAATATCACCAGTCTTCAAACACAGAGCTGAGCTTATCCTGAGCTTTAGATTTGGTGCTGATATGAGCTCGTCCAGAAGGACTGGGCGGCGCAGGCAAAGCAGCCGTCCTAAGGTCCACACAGCTTTCCTCACTGTATTGTCAGTGCAGACATATGATGCACTGGCACGTGTTCTATTCAGAAACTTCAGCGTGATACAAAGGCAAACATTGGAAATAAATAAGTGTGAAAAGTCAATGAAGTACATGTACATTTAAAACCAATTATGGAGATTTTCCTCAAACATGTATTAGAATTTTAAGATTAGAAATGGTAGCCATCTTCAGAGAGTTTACAGCTCAGTTCTGAGGGGGCAGAAATAGGTGTGGATAGTTGTCATCATTAGACACTTCCAGCTGGTCACAGAGAGCAAGGGAAGACAGCACTTCCGGGTGGGCGAGGTGGGGTCCAAGACTGAGCTCATGGGGAAGGGAATATTTTTTTAATTGAATTTTTTGTGAATTTCATACAATGCATCTTGATCCTATTTAGACCCCTCCCTTATCCTTACCCCCCCCACCCCCAGATCCCCACAGGATTTCATGCATTCTGTCATATATGTTAAGGCCTACTGAGTCATGTTTGTGTACCCAGATGTCCCTCAGTGTAGGTCCATCCACTGGAGTCTGGTCAATCTATCTAGTGTCACTTCCGAAGAAAATCAAGTCTGCCTCTCCCAGTTGTCACCAGCTGCCGATAGTCCCTCAGCTAAGGTTGGGGCTTCTTACCTGAGAATGGAATATTTGACAGGAACTTTTTTATGTCTGTTGGGGTAAGGAGGCACTGATTCCAAATTAAAACATCATTTATATGCACTGCTCAATTTGATTTTATAATATTAATGCTCTTACAAATTTGAAAGAAATTGAATGATTTTCCACTTTAGTTATGATCTGTACTTACATCTCATACTTTGAAATATTATCTCATTTAATTCTCATATTAGTAAAACTATCATTATTTTACAGAAAATTGTCCAAGATTATAGGGCTAGAAACTATTAAAATTGTGAATTGCAAATTTCCAAAACCAGATCATTGATTGATAAGCAATAAAACTACCTACTGTATTTAATGCTCATATTTTCCCGAGACTTTCTCCTCATAGTGCCCTTTGTAGCTCTCCAGTTTTAAGGTGTTTGCGCAGTTCACTGTCTTTTGCTATGTGCAGAGTCTTCTACTGCTTTACAATTAGAACTTATATTTTATTATATTGCCTGCCATATTATATTTTACCCTGACTAGTAAAAACCCTATCAGAATTATAGAACTTCATAAGGCCAAGGACTGAAGTGACTTCTGGGTATACTGATGTCCTCATTTTTATCAAATTGAGTGAAGTTCTTAGAAGAAAAGTCAGGTGGCAGAAACAGTCATGTTCAATTGCCTGTCAAGCAAGGTGGTCCTTTCATAGGACTTGACAAACCAGCTTCGAGTGCCTCAACTTAAAAACCTCTCAACCTTCAATATTTGACAAAGACGGCTGCCATGTCTGAGATGCCTGGCGATACCGGCCCTGGAGAATTCCACTTCACAGGCCCCAGAAGTAGCCTACATCATCAACCTGCATTTATTTTTGCACTCCAGACTCTGCTCTTGTGGTAAAGGTCCTTCACATACGTCATACCTTTGTGGCCGGCTCATTCACCATAGCTGATGGATTTCTTCTGATGGATTTCTTTGGTTACATAAATATGCTATTTCTTATGATCTATTCTTCTGTCCAAATCTAAAAATGTTTGGAAAATAGTAGCTAAAGTAACATAACAAAAGTTGCTTGACTTTTCCTGACCCATGTATTTCCTGGAAGATAAAACTTCACTTACATTGTGGCATGATGTCTTAAACAGAGTGACAGCCTTCCTCTGGGCATACCTATTATCTAATTATTAGAAATTTGGTAGGTTTTAACATATATGACATAATGCATGAAATCCAGTGGGGGATATGGAGGGTCGCAGATGGAGGGGGAGGAAGAAAGACGATTAAGATGTTTTGTATGAAATGCACAAAAATCCAATAAAAAAGAAATTTGAGAACAAGTTTTCTTATGTTTAAGGATGGATAAGACTTGGAATAAGAAAGCCCATGGAAAAAGTACACATTAATCTTGAGAAGTTTAAAATAACAGCATCAAAATGCATGTTTAGAGAGACGGTTTGTTTAACAATGTGTGGTTGCTCAGTCAAATTCTTCTTATGTTTCTAGACATCACACTGCCTGCTTAAGAAAGGAACAGATTTTACAGAAGTTCATCCATCAGTGTTGCCTCATGTGCCTATCAAAGAAAACATGAAGTTCTCTGAAGTCACAGAGACC